AATTTTAATATTAATAATACAATAAACTTTGATCTTAATTTTTGTACCTTAACCGAATAAAATCGAATTACCTTAATTTTTTTTTTTTCAAATGTAATTAACGAAAACTTGTGAAAATATTTCATTCAAATTAAACCATTCTGAGAAAACTGTCCTGTGAAAAGTATAGCATTTAATTCCGTTCAGAATGAAATGTTTAAAAATATGTTGTTTTCACATACTTAGGACTCTGAAGTGTTGTAGAAAAAGAAAATATATACATTTATATGTATATTTGCGACGTAATTACAAAATATTTACACCCGAACGCGTCAAATCCCATAGAACTCAATGGTAAATGACCAATGTTTTGGTCACCACGTAGGGATCGCCGGTGCTTCAGAGCAGGGGACGGAGAAACTTGTTTAGGGCGACTCCTTCTTACTTCCTACCTCCATGATTTTGACATGGTTTTGGTTTCTGGTCAATACGTTGGCTGTAGGGAAGATTTCGTGATTTTTTCCATGTGAACTAGTTTTCTTTATAAATTCCTCTAAGTCTTTCGTTAAGTACATACAAAGTTGCTACATTAAACATTAGTAAGTGTTTACATAGGTAAACATTTTAAAAGCAAACTAGCGTAAAGAAAGATTATTTAAATTATGTTTTTAAAATGCAAATTCAGAACACTGAAAACCAAACAGTAAAACATTATAAGACTAATTTAATAATCTTTGGTTTGGTTTACTTGAAAACTTTACTTAAAAAACGTTGAAATTTACAATGTTTACAACAAACTATTATTCTTTGCCATATTCATCGATTGCGTTAATCAAAATCTAAAATTATTTAACGTAAAATGTAATTATCCGAAAATTATGTAAAATGAGAATTCTTCCCACTATATCTGTAGCTTACAATGGCCAGAAAAAAAGATAGCACTAGATAGTGAGTATTTCTACAATGAAAAAACTATATTGACTAGAAATAGTCTTTGGAGACATTAGTGTCAGTTAGCCTGCGGAGGTCAGGTTCCCTTCAAAGTCATTTTCTTTTCCCAGGAGGCAGCGGTAGAAAGGACTCTTCCCGATTATTATTACTTTCAGCAAAGACTTTTACAATTATCTATTCAATCCTTGCTAATCAGATGAATTTGGGAAGAAAGGGAAAGTTGATAAATTTTGCTTCTTCCAGTGCCAGTACAAATCGTACAGTTGTTCAATAATATTTGAACTATATCATTAACGTTGCATATTACTAAAATGTACTGGTTCTTTAAAGTCCTTGATCTGTTCTAAAAATAATACCGCAGAAGTTTCAGAAGTGAAGTACAATTTAAAGCTACTTAACATTTATATGCACATAAAAAAGTAAAACTGTTTAAAATCCATATAGTTTAACGCTTCCTGTTTTATTTGGAATAATATTTCAAAAATAAAACTCGTGTTGGTTACGACCCAAGCAATACTTAACAGGATAAAAAGCCGTACTTTGATAATGCATTCAGTTTTCGTCGTTTTAATAAAATCCATTATGATACTTATGCTGGTAATTATAAACTGCATTTACGGATACAGAAGTATGATTAATACACTAATATCACAGAATATAAGCTTTTTATGCTCTGACAAGTTTTGTCAAGATACCAATTTTTAGTTCATATACAAGTCGTAAATTCCCTAGCCAGATTCCTTTTTTATATAAATAGATGCATAGAGGACAAATGGAACAGTTAATTATATTTTTTATTCTTTTTCAAAATTTAATTCTTTTAGATATAATTTTTTAACGGTAAAGGATATTCTGCTAAGTTATAATACAAAAATTATTACTAATAATAATTTATATCCTAATTTAATAATATTTATATCCTCATTTATATCACTCAAACAGAATTGGAAAACTCCATTCAAATCATATTTAATCAAAACATTTTACGAAGTTATGGAAAAAGGAATTTTGGTGTTTGTTTGATTTTAACGGTGAATTCAATCATTAAAACATTTTTACCGTGTTTCCTCATTCATAAAACATTAGCAAAATAATTTACTAAATAATTCTTAGATGTAATAGTATTCTTGTTTATCTTTTGTTATATGACTAAAAATAAATAAAAAAGCGGCTGGTATTCAATATTTATTTTATTTAATTACAAATACTTGGCTATTGGTACTCAAGACATAGTCTTTCCATATTATCACTTTTCTATTAGGCCTTGAAATTATGTTAACGACCTAATAGAATTTGGAAAAATCCTATGATTGCATAAAACTGCGGGAGGATGCTAATAATGACAAATTTTAAATGAAAATAGAAATTTATTTAAATAAATTTATTTAAATTCTATTGTGAGTGTCTGCTTTATGCATTTAATGTATCAAATGCAGAAAAGTGAGAAAATCCATCCAACACAGAGAAATAATTCTTCTAGTCTGTGGTAAGATTGTATCAAATTCATTTAAACTTCCGTTTAAATTCGAAATGCGATCTCTCAAATCAACGAAGGAATACATTTTTGGCTTTAAATTCCACATTGGTAGCAACTGTATAATAGCTAAACTTACCAAAATATTTGTAGAAAACCGCCAAAATTCTAGAAATTGCTATAAAATCCCGAAAAATATTAGGAAGATTATTGCTTGCCAATTCCAAGATGAAAGACGAAGGTGAGGTCGACTGTTAACGAACAACTTGTGGAAAAAATTCAACGCTAAAATATAAATGCATATGCCAAATTTTACAAAAATTTCTGATAAATATTGTACTCTCATCGTATATATATATGGACTTATAATGTGATAAAAAACTGAGTCGGTAAAAGAATGGTTTAAAATTTAATTTCCCAAAATAAATTGGCCTACTAAAACTAATAAAATAGATAAGTAAATAGTAAAAAAATTGTGTAACAAAATAAATAATGATCTTTCTTAAATACTGCCCAATAAAACATGTCGAATAATTGAAATTTTTACAAGCTTGGAAGCTAAAATTCTAAAAAGATTTCGGAAAATTCGGCCGTCACATGTTAAAAGAAACAAGTCTACAGGCTACTAGTACAAAGAAAGAGGAGGGAGACGAAACTAAACGCAACAACTACTTCTTGCCATTCAATAGCGGGGAGGCAATTTCATGGCTTATCCATCACACTAAGGGGAAGCAAACATACTGCCTTAGGCTGGACCATCTTAGAGAGATTTCAGAAAACGAAAGCGATTTTTTGGAGGGGTTTGTTGTCTGACAACGCGACCGTTTTCAAAGCATTTCGTTCTGAGAGGCGGGCTCGTTGATGGGTTAAAATCTTTATATTAATAATCCCTGTTGTGATTATTGAATTTGTAACCTGCACGTTGTAGCCCTGAGAGTTGCAACACAATGTGATAAAGTTGCAGATACTCTGGCTATCAATATGACTACTCGCGAGAGCTTCGAGTAGAATAGGTTACGAAGAAAATTATACTTTCAACTGCACATCGAATCTTCGATCCTATTAGTGTGACGTGCTGTATTGTTCCCGAAACTATTCTTGCAAAGAACTTAGGAGATGAAGTTCAATTGGAAAGAAGAAGTTGATTCTGAAACTAAAGTAGAATATCCGAAGTGGATGAGAAATATTCTTTAGTTAGAAAAGCTTCCTCGATACTTGAAAATCCGTGATGACAAAGAAATATATTCTTTAAATTTCTTCTGTAACGCAAACATGCGTGCTTACGCAGCAGTAGCATTTTTTCAAGTTGAAACTAGTAAATGTGTTAAAGTATAGCTGTTAAGTGCTAAATTCAGTTTTCCCAACTGGGAAGAAAACACAACTATCGCTAGACTAGAGTTATGAGCAGGCACAACTGCTTCTTGCCTTACATCCTCAATTGTGTGGGAGATTTCACATAGAGATGTTTACTTTTGGATTGGTTCCACTACTGTACTTACTTGGATTAAATGAGAAAAACTATGGGGAAACCTTTGTTCAAAAGTTAATACCTGAAATCAGGATTTAGAACAGCTGATGTAGAAATAATGGCCCCGATTCGACGGGTGTTTCCACCAAAGATTACTTGTGAAACGGCTGAGAATGTCAAGCTGAAATGCAAAGAAGGCAAATATCTCATTCTGAAGTGTCTTATGCACGAGTAGTAGACCCTGCAGAACCCTTTGGACGAACTGTAACAACCCGATCTGGAAAAGGTGTCAAAGTACCAGAAAGACTAGGTTAGTAACGCGACTGTTATTTGTTGAGGTATGCGGTCTCTCAACTCACAGTGGGAGGATGTAGAAAACTAAGCGTTAAATTCATACTCGTGTATTGTTTTCAGTGTAACTTCACGTGAGTAATGTTTGTAACCTTATAATTCTGAGTCCAAATGGAGAGTGTATTCTTATGTTTTTGAATTCAACGTGAGAATGGTCTTCATATTCGTAATTAAATTCTTTTAAATGTAAACGTTGTAATTATTTGTATTACAAAGAATACGAAGAGTTTTGTGTCAAACTATGTACATTGTTTGAGCTTTGAATGTTAAGAATATCGATTTATAGTTCAGTTTTGAAATCGGTATTCAACAATACCCATGCATGCTCAAGCTGTTGAATTCAAAGTTCCAAATGAATGTTTCAAGCATCGATATTGTTGGTATGAGATATGGTAAAATCTTGCAAAACTTTTAGGTACCTTCTTACTATCATCGATAGATTCATTTGGCAGATCGAAGCTGTTCCTTTGGAAAATCAAACTGCAGATTCCATCACAAATGCCATTGTCGTGACTTGGATTTCCAGATTTGAAATACCAAAAAAGATAACATAAGCACAGCCGACAGTTTGAAAGCCAAATTTACCAATCCTTGAGCAAAACCCTAGGTTTCAAAGCTAACACCACCACAGCTTATCACTCATAATCAGATGGTTTACTAAAGCGCCAACATCGAACTTTAAAAAGCAGCCTGAAACAGGAGTGGAAATAGTGGTAGGAATAGAAAGACAAGCCCCTCCTCAATGGGACTGAATGCTATTTAAGCAATATTTAGAAGAGCAGTTTGGCAATATCACGAGCCACAGTATGGCGTCTGTTTGTAAACAAATCGTGGCGATGAAATTAATTGGTAAAATAGTCTTATTATGAAAAATAAATTTGAATTAAGTAAATTAGTGTAATATTCAAATTTGATTTTGAGTCTGAAAGAGTAATTATGATCTGATTTTCTATTAGCACATTTAAATTGGATTGAATTGTTAAATTTAACTCATGGCAGAATTGCATGTTGTCACTGTACCGGATCAGTTTATTTTAAAACTAAATCTCCAGTGGAATTAAAAATAAAAAATAAATGTCTTTAATAGCGCGGATTATCTGATTGGAGCATAAATATTGTATTTTGTGGTACAGTATGTTATCAAATGTATTGTTTGCAGGAGAAATTTACCGAATTTTATTAAAAGTTCTTTGAAATACCACCATTTAATTCAGTGTGTGTTGTAAAGCAAAGTAATCGATAATATTTCTGAAAAAAAATCTTTTCAAAGAAAACTATTTTAACTTGTTTTCACTGCTAAGAGGTTTTTATGGTACTATTCCGTTTTGAGGACCGTAAAAAATTGCAGCGAAAATGTATGTGCAAAGGCGCCAAATTTAGCAAACACGCCCATTTAACAGCGCGCCAAATCTAGCGTACGCGCTGTTTTCAGATTGCGTAAGTTTAGATAGTTCTATATTTCTTGAAATGTCATTGAAATACTAGTTTAATTTTTAAATCCTTTTTTTTTTTTTTTTTTTTTTTTTTTTTTTTTTTTTTTTTTTTTTTTTTTTTTTTTGATATCCTATGGATTTAACAATTTGGAAATTGCCCATGACGAAAATTCTGCAATAGAATTTTTTCAAAGCAAAGGCATCATTCATTATAGAAAATTATGTTTGAACAACTAACGAAATGAAATTATGCTATAGCGATAACTCGGTAGCGAAATAGCGATGCAGTAATCCATTCAGTTATGTTTAACCTCTTTTATACAAATTATAATAATAATCTGAAATACTTATTTACTCTTATGCTTCCATTCAGTTATGTTTAGTCTTTTTTGTATAAATTATACTAATAAAAAAGCATTATATTAAATTAACCTTTCATATCAATTAAAAAAACAATAATCTTTAGATAATTATTTACTATTATATTTCCTTTCTAGCGTTAGGGTTGCTGCAATTATTTTTGGCAGCACTGGCATCAACAATTAGTTTGGCGATTTTTTACTGTCCTCAAAACGGAATAGTACCGTTTTTATTTCATTTATTGCAAACGATCTAAAGAGTATGTCATTATTTGTTGTGTTGTATGAGCTTAAAAAGGAAAGAATAAACATTTTTGACATATTAATAATTAATTTAATATTTTCTAGAAAGGGCAGCCCTAAATTATTGTCTAGAATCTCAATGCATTCATACTTCTGCTGTTGTTGAAACACTTGGTGGTTGGAGATTAAGGTAAATTTTATTGTTCATTAAATTATTTATATTTAGATCTTAAATAACTCGTTAATACAAAAGTTATAATTTTTATTTAGTTGCAGTGTTTATAATGTATTACATTATACAGTCAAAAGTCGTTAATTTGGACACCCATAATCCAGAATGATCTATAATCCGGACCTCAAAGCTAAAAACTTTCTGCGCATGCGCCACTTTGAAACATGCGCATAGGCATTTACGCGTGTGCATAAAACCTTTTACAACTGCGCATATGCGTGTGCACAAGTGCAGAATACGTTTTTGCATGCGCGTTTTATGTATAACGAACGGTATAAGGTAAAATTATCTAATTATCTATTTCAGTTAATGTTGATGATTGCGTTGTTCCTTAATCTTCGAATTGGATCCGACTTATTATTTTTTGCAGACTGTAAGAGCAATTTTATAAAATTAAACTTGAACTTTCGATTATGTCAAATAGGATTTCCGATTCTGGAGCTCCCAAAGGATCGTACAAAATGAAAGTATGTTTCGATGCCCATCAAACAAAAACTGGAATTGCTGCAAAAAATGGATAAAGACATAAAAAATATGACAGAGAGGTTAGTGAAAACGAAAAAATTTCAATTGGCAAGTTAGTCGGTATTCTCGGCACAGCAATTAACGGGACTTGAACAGCGGAACTTTGAAACTGAACAAGAAATTATGTCTATTTATAGAATTAAAGAGAAAGTATTATCACATAAAACAAAGCAACTTAAACAACTTACATTGAAAGAAATGTTTAATAAAGTTTTTTTTTTTTTTTTTTTTTTTGTAAATTTTGATACCCTTTAGATCATAATTGTTATTTCATAAATTACGGTTTCATATTTTTAATTTTAGAATTTCTGCATGCCATCTTACGAGATTTAAACTGATGATCTATAATCCGGAATCGCCAAAGTCCCGACGAGTCCGGATTAACGACTTTTGACTGTATTGGGTTTATATCAGAACAAATACGATATATGGGGCATATTTCTGTTAAGTAGTGAAAAAAAGCTGTGCCTTTATCATCAATTGCCAATCAAAGACTAACATTATCTGATGCCTTGGAAAAACAGCATAATTGTTACAGTCAACAATTCTTTCACACATTTTAACTACTTCTTAATAGATAGTTCTTCAGCTCAAAAGTAAATAAGCTGCAGTGCTTTCATAAATGGAAGCAAAGAACCACAGGATCAATTTTTTAACTTTTTGGAACTTCTTTGTTATGCACCTATCATACATTTCAGTGGAAAATTTTTTTTTAAACAATTTCTAGTTATAATACTTTATAGATGCTATACATGCACTGCCTGACAAGTGATGGCCAATAGATTACCATATGCCAAAAAACTTGACAGGGGTATTACTGAAGAGTACCACTCCCTTTTTTTTTTTGCCAAATTTGCAATTATTTATGGTAGCAAATTATTAGAGTATATAAAAACATAATATATATATATATATATATATATATTATATATATATAAATGAACTACTTAAATTTTTGTTGTTGTATATATGGTTTTCTTCTATTGACTTCATAATTCTGTAAATTTGTGAACAACAGGGTTTATGTAAGCAGAATCATGAAACTTAACATGCTTTAAGGATCAACTATATATGGATGAGTGAGAAATTAAAGTAGTTTTTTTTAAATACAGGATGAACACAAAAGCAGCCCTTTGTTTTGAACCAAATGTATCCATATTTTAATACTGAAAAGATAATCCTGCCCAAATTTTTGCAGTAGTTGCATAAAGTTTTAGTAGTATTAATTTGAATTACAAAAAGTGATATGCACCACCAACTACAAAAGAAACATCAATGCATTAATTCAGCTGTAGCCATGTAGCATATCTTCTATGACAGAGTTCTTAACATTCTTGAAGGTCATTTAGCCTTGCAGATGTTAAAGATCTGCAAGCTCTCCAATACTTTTTAACAATACAATCCAAATTATTTACTGCAAAATGTTCATCAAGATAAGCAGCAGCTATGTCTTGTCCAGGCAAACACAGAACACATAGGTGAATTAGTTATTCTAAAATGAATCAATTAGGCATTAAGACAATCATGTCCAGTCAAAAGTCTGTGTGTACCACAAACACACTCCAGGGCTTAACATCAACATGCAAATCTGCATGATGAAATCATTGCTTGATAATTCTCTTTATTTCTAATTTAGCAGAGTAGAGTGGAAAATCTCTATAAAACTTTTGGAAAATATTAGTTATCTTTTTTGCCAAAAGGTCAGCCATATCGTTCCCTTCATGAACTACCACAGGAAGAATTCGCAACCAGCGTGGTCCAGTGATCTTGGGAGCAACATGCGATCATCTTGAACATGGCTGTTTAGTATTCTGAATGTAATATACTCACTTGTGCTTGTCAGTCCTTGCTGCTTGTATGTGTCACTATCTATTAATGCTGATGAGAAGTGCAGCAACACCTAAGGTTTTGATGTTCTTGGAGATGTTAAATGACTTTGGGATTCATTTGCAGGTCTGCTTCATATAGAAGTTAAATACAGTCAAAAGTCGTTAATCCGGACTCGTCGGGATTTCGGCGATTCTGGATTATAGATCATCAGTTTAAATCTCGTAAGATGGCATGCAGAAATTCTAAAATTAAGATTATGAAACCGTAATTTATGAAATAAAGAAAAATGATCTAAAGGGTATCAAAATTTACAAAAAAAAGCTTAATATTTATTTGTTTACTTTATTAAACATTTCTTTCAATGTAAGTTGTTTAAGTTGCTTCGTTTTATGTGATAATACTTTCTCTTTAATTCTATAAACAGACATACTTTCTTGTTCAGTTACAAAGTTCCGCTGTTCAAGTCCCGTAATTGCTGTGCCGAGAATACCGACTAACTTGTCAATCGAAATTTTTTCATTTTCACTAACCTCTCTGCAACTTTCTTCATGCCTTTATCCATTTTTTGCAGCAGTTCCACTTTTTGTTTGATGGACATCGAAACATGCTTTCGCTTTGTATTTCACCATATGCTTTGTAGATCCTTTGGCAGCTCCAGCATCTGAAATTCCATTTGACGTAATCAAAAGTTCAAGCTTACTTTTTATAAAATTGCTCTAACAGTTTGCAAAATATAATAAGCCGGATCCAGTTAGAAGATTAAGAAACAATGCAATCTGCAACATTAACTGAAATAGATAATTAGATAACTTGCCTATTTACCACCTTAACACGCGCATGAATACGCATGCACAGAAATTTTGTAGCTTTGAGATCCGGATTATGGACATCCAGATTAAAGACTTTGTATTGTATATATATATATATTATAAGTCATATGTAATTGGAAAATTTTTGTGTTTTTCAAATGGTACCATTATTAATTTACCTCTGAGCACAGTTAACATGCACTAGGAATTTTTTAAAAACACACCTGGAAAACATGGAAAAGTCAGGGAATTTCATTCTCCTCTTTGAGTTGCAACCCTCTTACTACTCCTTGTTGATATTTGCTGCTTGCTCATTTCACTATATGTTAGCACCATTGAGAAGTGCTGCAGCGCGTGATATTTCAATGTCCTTCTCCATGGTAAATGAGCTTAGGATTCGATCATCAGTCTGCTCTGTGCAAATAAAATATCATACCGCTATTGTAAAAAAGCTGCCATATGGTAGTTTTGGATATTTGAAGTCTTTTGTAGTGTAAGCATCATTGACTGTTCAGATTATTGTAGTTTTAAGATGGCTTAGCTATTAATTTGGCTGGTTCTCATTTAGAAATAGGCATACAGCATAATGACAGTGTAGTAACACTGTCATGTTGCAGACTGTAGTCACTTCTTTGTGCAGTAAGTTGAGGTGTCAACATGTCATGTAATGATGTATAAGTTTCACCCGTAATTGTTTGTTTAAGAAGAATGGATCATCATTCAGTGCTGTGGTTTAGTTTTGTTTGCTTAATTATGACAAAGTACACTAGGGCTATCTGCTTAAGGGGAGAGATGACTTTGTGGAGAACTTTCTAAATAAAACTGGCTCATATACATGTTACACATGGGGGGGGGAATGTCTATGCAGACAACCCATTTGCCTGGAATCGAACCCAAGTTGAAATACCAATGTTCACCAGCTTTATCGCATTCAGTACTCTGATGCAATATAAAACACAGTTTTTGGAATATCATGTTCCACATCCAGAATGACATTGATTCTCAGTTCTGCAGATCCTGACATTTTGTTGTTCACCTTTTCACATAGGTGAAAGAGCACCTCATCATTGAATATGATGTCTGTCAGTAGTGTTGTCAGCAAGTATGTATGGTCTCGCAAAACTCACATCACTTTATCCTTTCTTGTGGGTACAACTTCTGAACCAAATGTAGGCTGTATAAATGAAACCCAAATGCTAGCATAAGCTCTTATTTATTTTCATCTGTCACACCTACAAATCTACTGCTTTATATGTTGACTTCTTTGGTCTCCATACAAAGGTTTCATTCACTCGAGATTATAGATTCACTCATTTTCATAGATTACTTCTCATTAAGGAGTAATCTATGAAAATTCTGTACCATAATATAGCTCGCATGGCTAGTGAGACTTTAATCCCTTAAATACAACTTGTTTGACCCGGGCAGTAGTTTTATTTTTGAAATACAATTCCATTTTGAAAAAGAAATCTTACACTGATACACTTCTTTACCAATTAGTAATTTAATTTTTTAATTTCTCTTCATGTGTGTAATTATTTAGTCAGTTTCAAGTTATCCATCATGCATTTGTCCGAGTGGCAAACAAAATATTCAATAATTCAATTTTTGCAAATGAATGCCAATTTTATTTTTAGAGTAGAGAAGAGCCATCAGGGTAATACGAAAGACAAATGTGAAGGTCATTTAAAAAATAATGCACTGTTTTTTTCTCTCTCTCTTGGGTTTTATTGTATTTCAAGCAGTTTCTCCTTACTATTCTTCTAGTCCCCTTGTTTCTCATTACCATAATTT